GGGGAGGGGAAGGCGTCCTCTCCCCTTGTCCCCACCCGGCGCCTCGCCCTCCCGGTCCTCGGCCTGGGGGAGGCGGTGGGCAGCAAGCCCCCCTTTCGCCGGTCCCGCCTCCAGCCTCCTCTCCGCTCCTCCCAGCGACTTCTCCCCGTCGCGCCCTCTCTTGCTTGCTCGGATGGTGCGGCGGGGCGTGCGCACGTGGGCCCCCGGGTGGGTTTTGAGAGGCCGGGAGAGCGCGGTGGGTCGTTGAAAAACGCGTTTGGAACGGAAGTCAATCGCTGCCCCACGTCGTCCCCCCCGCGAGTAACCAAAGGGAGAGCGCCCTAGACGTTTCGCCGGAACCCAGCGCCCTTCCCTTCTTGCCAGGCATAACGGAGGGAGGAAGGAAAGGGGAAGGGGAAGGAAAGGGAAAGGAAGCGGGAAGGAGGGGCGAGCAATCCCAGGCTGGGCATCAAGAGAGCGTTTCCTTCTTAGGGGAGGCTGGAAGCGACGGCCCGGCGGGGCGGGTGTGTGTGTGTGTCCTCGAACTCCGATGAAAGCTCGCGAGGTCCAAGAAAGAGAAGGGAGCGGGAGGGAGGGCACACGCACGCACACACACACGACAACTTTAGCGAATCATGGTTGCCCAAGCACTTCCCTGGAGTGGGGAGGCCAAGTATTTTGGCGTGGATAACTTCAAGACACGAGGAAGTTGCCTAACAAAGCGGACAAGCAACGTTCTGTACGATTTTCGTCCACCCACAATGATCACAATTGAAACCAACAGAAAGCAAACCCTGCCCAGTTGGTGTGTGGCATCTGGTGCGTGTGTGGTGGGTCTGGATGTGTGGCGTTTTTTTTTTTTCCCCTTAAGAATTTTGTTTTCTCCTGGAATCTGGTGCGTGTGTGGTGGGTCTGGATGTCTGGCGTTCCCCCCCCCCTTAAGAATTTTGTTTTCTCCTGGGGGGAACTTTTCTAATTTTGGTCACCTGGTGAGACAGACGAAGAGTAAAAGTCCGCGGGAAGTCCTCCGGCGCAACCCGTACGTTCCACTGATTTCTATGCCACTCGGGCGGGAGGATTTCGCGTGCGATTGCACCATTAAGTGATAAGAGTTGGAATTTTAAAAAGACATGCTTTCGCGAAACAAAGCCAGCTACGAAAAAAGAAGTTCCTCATCGCGGTTTTCAAACATCATTATTGAAACGAACTCCGTTTGGGGGGGCCTGCTTAGAGATGACCAGTTGCAAAGTCTGTCTGAAATATTGATTTTGTAAAACACCCCCCCTGCACACACATACACCCCCTCATGTTTTCCCCAAATGTATCCGAAAGAGCTCGAGAGGAATAGTTAAAAACATTAGATTAATATTATCTTCGTAATAGCACATACCTATGGACCTCTGCTCAGAAATACTGTATCATTGAGTCCAATGGGATTTGCTCCCTGGAAAGTGCGTGTCGCTTAGTTAAGTTTCCTGAGAAATTTCAGTGGAATTGAAAGGAGTCAGTTGGAAACTGCCTGGCAGGGCCCTGGGTGTTGTTGAAAGTCAATTGAGTAAAACCAGCAAGAGTACTTTGCCAAGGTTGCTGCCAGGTGAAGCGGCCTGGTCCCATTCAAAACAACCCCTCCAAATAGTCTGACTGGCTTCCCTACAACTCATACCCAAGCAGGTGGCCCAGAATCTTAACTTATCTCCACTTCTCTGGAAGCTGACATATGGCAACTGGACTTCTTCCTTATTAAGCTGAAACGTTTCGCTACTCATCCAAGTAGCTTCTTCGGTAGAGACGAGTAGCGAAACGTTTCAACTTAATAAGAAAGAAGTCCAATTGCCATGATTCAACTTCCAGATAACCTCACCTGGATGACTGAGAATCTTTGCAGCTATACCTCTCATTTCTGTTCATGGCGTTAGTCGATTAGGACTGATTTCAAACGTGGCTTGTTTAGTTTTACTCCCTCGTTTAAGTGATCATTTTCATACCAGGGAATATGTTTTTATGACTACATGGGCTGGAAATGATTTTTTTTTAAATCTAAACTTGCAGAGATGGATAGATAAACAAATGGAATTAAGAGATGTTTTAAAATATATACATTCAGTAATGTTTCATTTTGATTTGTGGCTAAATCCAAAGTTTCATCTTATTTAGAGTCTTAAAATTGTGAAAATTAAGTTAGCAATTATTAACTTCAATAGGCCTATTTTAAATGGGAATAACTTTGGACCTAGATTTACTTATTTATTTATTATTTAAGGAAAATCATCTGTGTAGTACTATGTGCCATCAATTTTGTTTAAAACTGGACCACAGTTTTCTGGTCGTTTCTTAAATGAAAGCTTTTCCTTTTGAAATACAGTGATCAGATCCATTGCCCTCTAATCCTTGTACTCCTTAGATTATGACCATGGATTCTTGAAATAAGTTGCTCCCTAAACTTATTGATTCCAAATACAGTACATGGTGTGGTTTTTAAAAAAAGGTTTTTTTTGCTTAATTAATTAAATCACACTTTTTGTAAAATGAAGGAGAGAGTTGATAACAATAGGATCTGATACACTGTTCATAAAGAGATATTCTTACTTTCCAAGTACAGTACAGGCCTAGATACTATGTTGATGTAGACTTGAGCAGTACACTACAGCATGTCTGTACAAAGTTACTCTTAAGATCATGTTGTTGAGTCGTTTAGTCGTGTCCGACTCTTCGGTGATCCCGTGGACCAGAGCACGCCAGGCCCTCCTGTCTTCCATTGCCTCCCAGAGTTGGATCAAATTCATGTTGGTATCTTCAATGACACTGTCCAACCATCTCGTCCTCTGTCTGTCGTCCCCTTGTCCTCTTGCCCTCACACTTTGCCAACATCAAGGTTTTTTCCAGGGAAGGTCTAGTGGGTACTTATCTGCTAGTCGGTCCCATTGAGCTGCCTACTTCTTAGTAAACACGCGCAGGCTTGTAAAGTCAGTCCGGCTGATTTCAGTAGAACTGTCCTCTGTGCGTGCTAGGGTTTGAGAGGAAGCTAAACTCAGGCTGTGAAAACGAATAAGAATCAACAGTTCTCCTAAAAAAATCAATGGAAAAAGTCTCACGGATATTAGCAGGAGTGCGTTTTCACGTTAGTTTTCGCTATGCAGACTGGTTTGCTCCTTTGTTAGGCGGACAGAAGGCATTCTTAACAAAAAAAGAGGGGTGAAGCTTATCAAGGATTTACAGGAATTAAATAAGGCAGAAAAAAGTTTATTTACTTCTTATCTACAGTTTTACAAGCTTCCTGATGGGTGAAGTAGGAAAGAGATATGCAGTGTTTTAACTGATCCTTATTAAACTTTCCTTTGTACAGTATTTCAGTACCTGTCAGTGTTTAGGTTGGATTAAATTGCGTAGAGAGACAGCTGAGGTTCTAAACGTGATTATTTAGAAATAAATCTTGCTTCCAGATAATTGTTGCAGTCTGTCTCGTCAAGGCATTTGAATATAAATTAAGAATATACCTAAATGGGATGATTTCCAGAGAAGCGGCCCCTCTTTTCTCTCTTGCCCTAAAAAGAAGAGGTCCTGGGCCACTTTACAGACCAACAAATACATCATGGCACAAACTTTCCATGGATCAGAGCCCATTTCCGTCCGCCTTAATGGGTTCTGGCCCACCGAAGCCTCTGCCTAAACAAATCTCTTAGCATTTAAGGTGCCACAAGCGTCTCCTGTGCTTTNNGCGTGGGGGGGCGGGGGGGGGGGGGAAACACGCCTTGAACTCTTTCCGTTGATGTCCTTAGCTCCGGCTCAAAACTCTAGCTGGGAGCTGCAAATCTTTCGGGAATGAGTTAAATGAGATCGATAGGAGTCACCCTGATTCGGAAAAAAACATTGTACTGTAGTAGGCTTCAGATCCTGCGGATTCTAAGTCTCATTTCCAAGTAAGTGGGCAGAGGAGTGCCGCGGGGAGGGTGGGGGGAAGAAAGGGAAAAATAAAAATAAAAAAGGAGAAGAAATTTAAACGACGTAAGGCTAGCCACGTGGGCAGCGAAAACCACGGGGATTCGTGTATGATAGGTGAGAACAAAATGAAATGAAGTAAAAATAAAGAACATTAAAAAGACAAAAACGTGGTGACATCTTAAAGACTCTTATATTTTAATGTGAGCTTTCGTGGACAAGTCCACTTCCTCAGACATTCCCCTGGAATGAAGTGCGCCACGACAACGCGATCACGGCCTTATTCATCAGATACCTGGACTGTAAGGCAGGATTTCAGGTTTCACATCTCTGGGGCGGGGAGAAGGCGCACAGAGCTCGCTCAGATGGCGGGGAAAGCTACACGCCGAAGGGTACCGGCGGTGTGGCAATTCAGATTTGACCACCATCCACAAAGCCGTTGATGAGAAGACAAGCATTCTGGAAATG